TGAGGCACTTTGTCCAGATCTGACCATGGAAATCAGGAGAAAGACAAACAATCTCCAGATTGCTTGGGCTGACGTTGCTGCTAGAGGATGATGTTAATTCTGCTGTTTACAGAAATAAGTCCACTGTGAGTTGAAGCTTTTTGGTGTCTAAAACCAGATGGTATTTCCTGCCTTGATCAGCCTCAGAGCTTTGGTTCCCATGGCAACCCTGAAGTTCCACCTACTGCAACTTCCCCGTTCTCCAAGCTTCTTCCTCGTCCACCATTGTGCTGGGTCCACGGAGAATAAAGCCACTAACCGGCATGTGCACAGCATTTGACAGTTTACAATATACTCCAGCAGTTATTACCTCATTTAATCACCACAGCTTTGCCAGCTAGCATTTGCTAACCCCCCATTCTGCAGATGGGAAAACTGAGATCTCAGAGATGAGGTGATCTGTGCTTTCAGCCCTTGATGGTGTAGGTAGGAGTCAAACCCAGGTTTCATGATTTGGGACCACCACTGCGCCAGGATGAACATGAATACCCTGCAGATCACCTACTATGCTTAGGATTCCTAAATGGTCATTTCCACAAACAAATCAGACCTAATCAAGGTACGGCAACTTTAGGCAAGTTACTGGACTTCTCTGTGCCTTACTTTGCTCATTTGTAACATGGGTAGTAATAATGGTACCTCTGGGTGGAGAGGATTAAGCATTTGTAGAAACCACAAGAAGTGCTTAATGGGGTTGAAGGGGGACCTAAGAAGCAGGGTGAGTCTCAGTTCTGCCCTACTTATCTGTGCGACTCTGGGTGGGTCATCCTGCCTGCAGAGCCTGCTTTCCCCGGTGTAGGAGGGAACAGCACCACAGTGCTCACACGCATACGGTGCTTGAGAAGATGAACGTGCCACCTCTCATGCTGCAGTGCGCGTACGCATCCCCTGGGGACCCTGCAGGGCCTGCATTTCTAACAAGTGTCCATGGAAAACATTTAGAGTGGCAAGGCTGTAGCTAGGATGCCCCACACAGGTGTTACGAGTAATCGATCATGCAAAGAGCCATGCCTCCAGCAGTACAAAGCTCACGAAGCTAGAAGAGTCCACTGCGGATGAGCAGGAGCACCCCTGAGGGGGGTTATCGGGGTGTGAGAGTTCCATCTGAAAGGCTCCTTCTGCCCAAGCTCTGGACTCTGCACAGCCTGGAACTCCTACAAGGTTCTGGTGAAAGCTGTCCCTGATCTTGCTCTCAATAGAGGACATAAAAACATCAATCTGTTACATCTTGCACAACAAAAACATATTTACTGGTAATGACTTGTGGACACTTTAAAGTAAACTTTAAATTAAAAGTGAAGTCAGTGTGACCCAGGAATAAGTGGGCAATGTTAAGTACATGACAGAAAGGGGATCCATGTAGACCAATCATGTGGCTCTGAAAACCAGTCTGCACTTTGTGCTTCCCCCCAATCTCCTTTGCTCCACATTCTTATGTGACTATGGTTTGTAAACTAAATTATGTGTGTTTATTGCTACCTAATTAACAAGTATTTTCCATTCATTCTTCCAGTGAGTCTGGCCGGTGCATCCCTGGGCCTTGCCACAGGTCCAAATCCCAGCTCCTATGCCTGCTGTCAGCTCCATGGGCACTGTGGCTGCTGATGAGGAGCTCCTATGCTCTCCAAGGAACAGTGAGAGGATGAATGATAGTGTCTGTGCCTGATGATTGCCTCCATGTGCTGGGCACTGAACTATGTGAGTGCTCACAGCAGCCCTGTGAGCCAGGGTGTTTTGACTCCAGTGGATCACAAGCTCCTAGATGGCAGGAAATATACTTTGCTCTCTGGTGTGTGCCCTGTGCCTACAAGGGTGTGTCATCAAGGTCTGCTGCATGGACCTGCTCACCTACCTGAGAAAGGCTGTCAGCACCCCACACGGCCACCTAGCCATGTGGCACCCATGAAGCCACCCCACAGAAGCTGCAGCGACAATGGTGTGCAGCTTCCAGCTCTAGCTTTCTTCGTCGCCAAGGTTCCCCTCCACGCACAACACAAATAAACGAAACCTGTTGTTTAGCCTCTGCAGATTGTTCACAATTTGGAGAGAAGGGCTTCTGAAAGCTATAAATAGCTTGGCGATTCCGTTTCTTTTAGTAATTCTCACAAGCGGCCTGGCACGGCAGGCAGCTCATGCCTGTAATCCCAACACTTTAGGAGGCTGAGGCAGGAGGATCGCTTGAAGCCAGGAGTTCAGGGTTGCAGTAAGCTATGATCACACCACTGCACTCCTGCCCGGGGAACAGAATGAGACCCTGTCTCAAAAGTATGAAAAGAATTCTTGCAAGTTGGTGCTGCCTTCTTGATGCTTTCCTGGTCTCAGTAGCTCATATTGGTGGGCTTAGCCCTAGGGGGCTTTAGGAAGGTGTTGGGGGAGGCTGGGGGCCCCGGAGGCTGGGGCAAGGGTCTGGGGAGGCCATGGGCATGAGGCCAGCACTCTATGAGAAAGAATCTTCTAGGGATCTGAGCTGGAGCTGTAGAAAGCCCCCTGTCACAGGCTGGCTTCCCTGGAAGTGCACTCTGAGCCTGTTGCCAAGGTCTTGGAACAGACACCTGTGGAAGCAAAGGTGAAACATAGGGCTGGGCAGAAGGAGAGGCCAAGGGCTGTGGCTGAGGTGGGGGAGCAGGAGTCCATGGGAGTCCACAGGGCAGCCTCAGCTGCCCTGAGGGCATCCACAGCTGAACAGGTCAGTCAAGAAGGTGTCCATGCCAACGCCTGGGTGCTTCAGGAAACACTCATCTTCGGACTCAAAGGGAGTGTTTGGGTCGTGATGAAAGAGGAGACAATTATCCTGCTAAAGAGCTGTGAGCACATGAGGCAGAGAAGCTCTGAGCCATGCTGAGCCAGGAAATGAGAACCAGAGGAGCGGTGAAGGGTTGCGGAGCAGGTAAGATGAGCTGGTGCCCCAAGGATGTCCTGACCTCTCCCATCTGCTGGACCAGGACAAGGCAGCCCCACCTCATTCGCTGGTTCATTCTCAAGGCATTTTCTCATTTTCAAGCCGCTGGGCTCTGGGGATACTGGCTGAAGACCCTCAGTCTATCTAGACTACTCTGACAAAGGACACACACATGGGAGAGGGAGAGGAAAGGGAAGACCCCAGAAGGGCCATACACCTGTCACACTGACCAGCACAGCAGAGATGAACAAGACTCACTAAAGGCGAAACACCAGCCAGGTCACGGGCACACCCCCATACCCCTCTTTTTAAAAAATTATAGTCATTCATATATATATATATATAAATCTCATAAAACCAGTCATTTTAAGTTTATAGTTCAGTAGCATTAAGGACATTCACAATGCTGTACACTACCACTAGCTAATTCTACAACTTTTTCATCACCCAGAAAGGAAACTTCCTATTCATTAAGCAGTCACTTCCCATTCTCTCCACCCAGCCCCTACCAACCATAAACCTGCTGTTGCCATGAATTTGCCTATTGTGGACACTCCACATAAATGGAATCATAGAATATGTGGCCTTTGGTGTCTGGTTTAACTTAGCCTAATGTTTTAAACGTTTACCCAGGTTGTGGCATGTATCAACTCCGTTCCTTTCTATGGCTGAATAATATTCCATTATGTGGACGTAAATTCTGTGTATCCAGCCATCTGACATTTGGCTTGTTTCCACGTTTTGTCTATTGTAAATAGTGCTATGAATATTCATATACAAGCTTCTTTTGAATACCTATTTTCAGTTCCCTGGGGCGTATATGTAAGAATGAAAGTGCTGGGTTCCATGGTTATTCCATGTTGAACTTATTGAGGAGCCACTCCCCCTTTTTACAGCTTTTCATAGAACCACTGGGCTGGAAGGGATCACAAGTGACCTAGAACAGTGTTGCTCGAACTTTTGGATTTCACACGCCAGTAAAACTAAAACTAACATCACCACACCCAGCCTCTCCCAAAGTAGAAGGGACTTGTATTGGAATGAAGGCCAGCATGTAAGATGGAAACATCCAGTGTCAGACAAACTCATGACCTCGTTCTTGTTTTTCTCATATCACCTCCACCTGGTACTGGTGCCTGGGAACCAATGACCAGGTCCAATCCCCAGCCCAAGTCTGAATCCCCTCTCTAGCTGCCCTGGCACAGGCTGGCCCAGCTTCTGTGCCTGCCTGAGGAATGTTCCCATCCGTGGGCAGCTCAGATCCCTGAAATGTTTTCTCATGGAGCACTGGCCCTGTGTCCATGGTCTCTCCAGACCTTTGCCCCAGCCTCCAGGGCCTCCCAGCTTCCCCCATCACCTTCATAAGGCCCCCTAGGGCTAAGCCCACCAATGTAAGCTACTGGGACCGGAAAAGCATCAACAAGGCAGTCCCAACTTGCAAGAATTCTTTTCATACTTTTGAGACAGGGTCTCAAAAATTCTGTCCCCCAGGCTGGAGTGCAGTAGTGTGCCTTACTGCAACCCTGAACTCCTGGCTTCAAGTGATCCTCCTGCCTCGGCCTCCTAAAGTGTTGGGATTACAGGCATGAGCTGCCTGCCGTGCAAGGCCACTTGTGAGAATTCCTAAAAGAAAAAGAATCGCTAAGCTATTTATAGCTTTCAGAAGCCCTCCTCTCCAAATTGTGAACAATCTGCAGAGGCTAAACAACAGGTTTTGTTTATTTGTGATACTGGCTGGGCTTATTCTAATTCCACGTTCCCCTCTGTGCTGACGACAGGCAGTAAGACGCAAGGAAGAGAGTGTGAGGCCTGCACTCGGACCAGACTGTCCCTGGTCAGCTGTGTGACCTTGGCAAAGTTGGTTAGTATCTGTGTGCCACAGTTGCCATATCAACAGAAAGGGCAGTTTCAGGCTGCCTCACAGGGTTCCTGTGAAGATGAGGCAAGGTGACTTCTAGAAGCTGCACCAGGCGGACCCAGGGGCTTGCCGCATAGCAGCCATCACAGGCAGGAATCTGGGCAGTGTTTTACACCCTGGATGAATGCAGTCAAAGTGGGAAGATAACTTCATGTCATTTAATATACACAGGCCAATAAACAAGAATCTTTCAAGTCCTTACATAAACATAACAATAAAATAAGTGTCTATGGTGGGGAAAATGGAAACTCACTCCCTTGGGCAGAAACTAAAAATAGCATCCTAGAGTCTTGGCAGTGGAAACAGTGGCCTAGTGAGGGCCCTACAGGGTAAGGCCAAACCCACTCCAGCCACCTGGGGGTGGAGACGGGGCCTCCCTGACTAGGATGGCCATGCCCTGTGTCTCAGCCCTGGGAGAGCTCCAGCAGGAAATGGGAACCTGGGAGGGCCCCTAAGTTAATGTGAGATGGCGCCACTCAGCTGGGCAGGACCCCGAGTTGGGGGGGGTCCTGGAGGGGGTTCTCAGGGGCAGGGAGATGTGGTCTCAGCCTTGGGAAGGAACTATAGTGCCAGGGAAAGGGAGCCGAGGACAAGTGGCCTGGGCTTCGTCCTTGAGCTCACTACCTGTGATTCTGTGTGGATTTCCCTTGTCATTCCCAGGCTTTAGCAACAACTATATTTTTGGGTCTGGCTTCTCAGCTGGGGGGCTGAAATTAAGGCCAGGTCTAACTCCACTCTTAGGCTGTATGTTAAGGAGGAGCAGAGGCCCCTGAGGCCAGAGGACCCACCTCACCCACGGAGACTCCCTCTGCAGGCCAGTCCTGCAGAATTTGGTATCAGCTTTTTTAGGGAAAACATCAGGTCTTTTTACATGTTGGACAGGAACTGCTGGTTAACAAGACACAATTAACGGGCTAGGAATGGACAAGGACAGTGACAGAATGGTGCCTCACAGCGCCTTCTGCTGACGGCACCTTCATTCTTGCTGCAGAGCCCACTGAAGAAGGGTCCCGGGCCCTTGAGGAGGCATTTATTTGGAAGCACAGGTAGCGCAGATGTCCAAAGTTGTCCAGTCTCTCGCCTGGCCTGTGTGACAATGTCTTCAGGCAGCTCCTAGGTAAGCAGAAAAGAGACGGGTTCCTTGCCCTCTTTTCGCCCAGTGGATCAGCTTCTACGACTTGGCCAAACTGTCTTTCTTTCTGTCCGCTGTGTTGGGAATCCCAATGACATCAAGACCCAGGGTCAGGCACATTTGGACTGCAGATCCATCGGCCACCCCTCATTTCTGTGGGCTCGGATGCCGGCAGAGCCACTGCAGCAGCTGCTACCTCTTGCCAGATGCAGTTTCTTCTGGCCTCACCCACCCAGCCATGGCTATGTCCAGGCAGAAGGGAGAGAGATGAGAGGTGAGAGAAAGGATTTAAAATGTGCAACCATCTGTGAGGTTTCTCACATCTGCACCACTTCACAGTGTGAAAAGGGCTTTCTCACTTTCACCTGATCCCTGGGGGCTGCTAGCCCCTTGTAACCAAAAGGGAAACTGAGACTCAGAGGGAAGAAGAAACATGTTCAACGTCATGCAGCACTAGCTCTGACTCTAGGCCCAGTGCTCTTTCCAGGGTAACAGGTTGCTTCTACTCATTTCAAAGGACCAAAAATCAGAAAAACAAGACACCCAACTGACCCCTCCTTCCTGACAATCTGTAACTTACATGTTACATGCTGCCTTTGCACATGCCCTGGCTGGGGTGCCCTTTCTCTTTCCTGCCTAAACCTGCCCTTTGAGGTCTCACTCCAGCTCTCTGCTCTAAGGCCTGCCCAGGAGGAGCCTGAACCATCACTGGTGACTTTCCCAGAGCGGCGTACCCAGCACACTTCATCACACCATCTCACTGATGTGCTTGTCTCCTCTAAGACACTGTGGGGTTCCCTTCAGGGCAGAGAAGTCCTTTTTCATCTTTGGAGGCAGAGTACAAGAGGGGAGCTGGCGCAGAGTAGATGCTAAGTAAACGTTCAGTAAACAAAAGAATTAAAAAGTAAACTTTCTCCTCACAAAACCAGCTGCCTCCATAGAATTCTGTGGTGCTGAAGTAGAGAGGCAGGAGTCCTTCTTGGCCAGCAGGGCCATGGACCTCCAACACCTAGGACACATCAGCAAGACACTGCGTGGGTGCTAGGAAATAACACCCTCCACCCCACAGGAGAGCCTCAGGATGGAGCGCTCTCGGAACAGGGGCCCTGCCATCTAAAGCAGGCCCCATCCCGATATCCCACTGCCAGGTAGGCCACCTCTGCAGAAAGCTGCTGGGAAGAAAAAAGGTGGCCACCAATGGCCCTGACCCACTCCCAGGGCTGCGAGGCCTCATGGCTGCCACTGTTCCCACCAAAGCAGGGCTTCCCCAGTGGTGTCCAAGGAATTTCAGTCTTGCAAAAGCACCCTGGAGAAGTGATCAGAGTAATGTGGGAGCCGCTACAAGTTTCTTGGCCCTGTGAAGAGGCCTGAGGAGTGCTGGCATACTGAAGGTTTTAAGAGGCCTGCAGCAAAGATGATCACATAGCTCGCTTTAGCTCAGTTTCTGCCCAACTACTCCACCAGGGAGCCTCTCCCACTTTCACATACGCACCCCTACTTTTCTTCATGAAACACCTGTTAACATCCTGTGGAACTAGGGTTCCGAGAAGCACACTTTTGGGAAATGCTGGTGAAGGTCACCAAGCAAGGGAGGTACTTCTTGGGCGGGGCGGGGAACAGCCTCCTGGAGGCAGGCTGGGGACACCTGTGGGATGGGAAGGGGGTGACTAAGGACCAAAAATCAGCAAAACAAGCACCCAACTGACCCCTCCTCCTTGACAATGTATAACCTACACATTACGTGCTGCCTCTGCACATGCCCCTGCTGGGGTGCCCTTTCTCTTCCCTGCCTACCAGCCACATCCACACCTGCCCAGAAGGAGTTCCAGGGACAGTCTGTGAACCAGTATACAAAGTGCCTAGCAGAAAAAGCCTTGGATACTTGAGTCCAGTGAAAAAGAAAAAAGAGGCATTGTCTGGAGCCTCTGTTGTCCTGTCTGCAAAATGGGAATAGCCTCGCTCTGTCCAGGGTCATCCAGTGCATTCATGGAGGTCTACATCTGTGGGAAGCTGACCCCCTGGCGCAGCTCCTGTTTATCACTGGTGTTCAGTCAAACTTACCTGAGTCTAAGCTATACCAGTATATGTTTATGAAAGAAACAGGACCACAGCAGAAAGCAGGCACAAAACCTCAAAGCACATAACGTCGGGGATCCCGAATTTCAGAGGCAAACAATTCTAGGTCTACTGTTAATCCCTGAAGCCATCAGTAGATGAAAACAAGAATCACAAGTGCTTCTAGCTCCGGGAGTCTATAGGAGTTAGTGGAAGAGGGACAGGCTTGCAAGCCCACCAGTTCTGGTTCTGAGCCCGGGTCTGCAGCTTCCCTCTCCTGAGCATCCATTTCCTGCATGTGCAAGATGAAGTTACACAACGCCACCTCCAGGGTGGCCATGAGGATGAAATGACAAAGGTAAAGCTGCCAGCACATAGTAGGCGATGAATGAATGTGTCTCCTTAAAAAGGCTGGGACATGAGAAACCTTTGTAAATGTGTCTGTCAGTAACAGATAAATGAAATACTTTGTCTTCAGTCCTGTGGAAAGCTGGCTTCTGTGGGTGGAAGGCTGAGAGGATTTAGAGGAAAAATACCCACTATCAGGGCAGGGGAAGAAAACTATGAGGCTCTGGGCAGTAGGGTAACGACTGCCTCTGAAAGCCAGCATAGGGGCGTGGGCTTTCATGGCTGGGGGAGGGACAGATGAGAGATGGTACCTCCCAAGGAGACCAACATGTGGCTCACACAGCTCAGGGTAGAGATTAGAATTCTGTGAAGCCTACCATCTACCAGCTACTTCCTGCAGACCCAGCACTTCATGCACACTGGCTCCAAGCTCTGACTAAGAGGCCATAGAGCTGCATGTGAACTTTGAACCTGAGTCCAGAGCACAGTCTGTCCACTCCCCCAAGCTGCCTCTCAAGGCTGGGACTGTCTGTTTACAGGTGTTCTCTTGCCCATCAAGAGCCTGAAGGCTCTGGATTGTGTCTGCACACTTGGTGCCTGGTATCTAACATAAATGCAACAAGCACTGGCTGAATGAGTCACTCACTGGAAAACACTTTAGAAAGCCACTGGGTTTTAAAAGTCAGGCCCCCTCTGATATAATATGATATGATATGGTAGGAAACGACACAAGCCAATTCCCTTTTGAGGAACACAGCATTAACAGGATCTAGACAAAATTCCAAATTCGTCACTTCTTTGCCTAGAAACTTTGAGCACCAGAGACTCTTTCACAACGTGACCCATTAGTCCTCTGCTTCCACTTTCGGTGCAGAAAGCCCTGCAGTGATATGGGTGAGCACTGTGGAGTAGCAGAGCATCATCTGGTCTGACCCTCCACCTTGCAGATAAGGAAACTGAAAGCTAGGGAGAAGAGATCCATACAGCAGGCCTCCTCTTCTCTCCCTCTAAAATAGACTGTCCTTGAAATCAAGAAAAATGCATTTGACATACACATCTCGAATGCGTGCTGTAAGCTGTATGCAGCAGGTGCAGTGGAATGCTAGAGCAGTCACATACACAGCACGAAGGCACACAGTGGTTGAAAGGGGGTCAAAAAAAAGACTTCATCTGAGAGGTGACTTGGACCAGGAGGGACAATTTAGAAGTTTTAAGGGAAGATGTGGCAGGGTGGCTAGCCTCCCACCATAACACACACCCCCATCTAAGTCAAAAGTTGTTGCTGGGAAGCCACTCTATGGAGACTGCACAACCCAGCCTCCTCTGCATCCATGGGGCCACATGACTACCAGCAGCCAAGAGGATCTAAGCAGGAGTGATGTGTGCCAGTTAGGAGCAAGGCAGGTAAGCAGTAGCTGTGCCTCCTCCATCGTCCCTTTCCCTTGCAGCCAGCCAGAAGCAAACTCTGAGGCTCCTGGGTAGAACACAGGATGAAAGGAGCTGAGTCCCCGCATCACTGTGTGAACCCACCTGCCAACCAGAAGCACCCCCACTGGAATGTTACATGGGAATGTCTCTGTATGAAGTTTGTTACAGTAACAAGTACTACCAACGAATACAGTAGACGTGAAGTGGGGCATTTCGAGCAAAGGGAATAATGTGACTAAGGCACAGCAGTGTCATGGAGGTGGGGCTGGGGCTGGGGCTGGGGCCCTGGCCACGTGAAGGGGTCCTGAGATTCAGAGAGCTCATGTTGGTGGCTGCGGGAAGGAGGATCACGCACAGGGGCTGTTGCCAGGAGCCCTGGTGTTGCTGGCGCTGCTCTCAAAGGAAGAGTGGAAGTTGTGAATGGTTTCCTGTAAAATTTGTCTCTCGCGTCCCTGTGGAGGAAATTGAAAACAGAAACAGAAAGTCCTGTTAAACCTTTTAACCATTAATTCAATTGACAGTGTCGTTAATGTTCAACTCATACTTGAAAAACCCATGGGCATCTTGGGGGAAATAAATTACTAATTGAAAGAGTATTGAGTTTAATAAAAAACATACTGAGTCAGAATCGCCTCAGCACCCACCATTGCAGCCTGTCAGTGCTGCAGAGGCCCTGAATGCAGGACCCCAAGCCCCTGGACACAGCAGGAGGCTGGGCCCGGGAAAGGACTGACTCCTCCTGAGTTGCATGGCCCAGATGCGAGGTCTCCTTCCCTGCACCTCTGTGCATCTTTCCAGTCCTCAGATTGCCAGAAAATTCAGTAGGAGCCAAGTTTCCTTCTGCTACAGGATTAAGAGTTTGAACTGCCTTTCCTCCCTTTTGCCCAAAAGCTGTCAGATTTGTCTTCACAGAGATTCACTTCTCACTGTATTCCTGTAACACCCCCTGCCCCCTTGTACACACATTTTCCGATGAGACAAAAGGGTGATGTGAATGTTCCGTTAAGCCCAGAAAACATCATCACTGAATACCAGGCTGAGAAGCAGCAAAACTCAGAGGTTAAGAACAGAGACTGGGTCCTAGCCAGAGCAATCAGACAAGAAAAAGAAAGAAAGGGCATCCAAATCGGTAAAGAGGAAGTCAAACTGTCACTGTTTGCAGATGATATGATCGTTGACCTAGGAAACCCTAAAGACAGCTCCAGAAAGCTCCTAGAACCGATAAAAGAATTTAGTAACGTTTTCAGATATAAAGTTAATGGACATAAATCAGTAGCTCTTCTATACAACAACAGCGACCAAGCTGAGAATCGAGTCAAGAACTCAACCCCTTTTACAATTGCTGCAAAATAAATAAGTAAATACATAAATAAAATACTTAGGAATATACCTAACCAAGGAGGTGAAGGACCTCTACAAGGAAAACTAGAAAACACTGCTGAAAGAAATCATAAATGTCACAAACAAATGCCCATGGATGGGTAAAATCAATACTATGAAAGTGACCATACTGTCAAAAGCAATCTACAAATTCAATGCAATTCCCATCAATATACCACCATCATTCCTCAGAAAATTAGAAAAAACAATTCTAAAATTCATATGGAACCAAAAAAGAGCCCATACAGCCAAAGCAAGACTAAGCAAAAAAAACAAATTGGAAGCATCACACTACCTAATTTCAAACTATACTCTAAAGCCATGGTCACCAAAACAGTATGGTACTGGTATAAAAATAGGTACACAGACCAATGGAACGGAACAGAAAACCCATAAATAAACCCAAATACTTACAGTCAACTGACCTTTGACAAAGCAAACAAAAACAAAGAGTGGGAAAAGGATACCCTTTTCAACCAATGGTGCTGGGGTTAGTTGGCTAGCCATATGTAGAAGAATGAAACTAGATTCTCATCTCTTACCTTATCTAAAAATCAACTCAAGATAGATTAAAGACATAAATCTAAGACCTGAAACTATAAAAATTCTAGAAGATAACACTGGAAAAACCCTTCTACACATTGGCTTAGGCAAGGATTTCATGAACAAGAATCCAAAAGCAAATGCAATAAAAACAAAGATAAACAGGTACTGCATATTGCTGCTGGAACGAGAAACAGAAAAGGGCATCCTATATTAAGAAAAAAAGCGGACGACGAAGGAGAAGTGTGCAATATAAGTGGTGATTCACCTTTTTTCTTTTAGTTTTTGGTGTGTGCCTTTGGTTGGGCATGGAGTGGGGGCACTGATATCTTTAGCTTTAAAACTGATGAGAAATTTAACATGAGACAAAACTGTGAGAAGCCAGCAACAGTGACTGACAGCTGTGTGTGTGCAAGGAGCTCTGCTGAGCATTTTAGTCCTTGCCACAGTTCCATCATCCCCACCCTACAGACAGGGACAGTGAGGCTCAGAGAGGTGTCTGCCTCACCCCACACAGTGAGTAAGTGAAGGAGGTGGGATTCAAACCCAGGCCAGCCTGACTCCAGGGCACATATGAACCAAAGGCTTGAAGGCTCTGCTTTCACAGTGTTCCCAAGGGCAAAACCTGGCCCTGTGCATGGATACTAGCTGAGTGAAGAGTTTTAGCTGCATCTGGGGAGAAACCTCCTGGGGGGAGAAGTCTGAAAATGGAAGAGGTCATGCTGGGAGGTAGTGAGTGCCTGCTCACTGTCAGATATGACAGAGGAGAGGAAGTAAGACCCTCCCGAGATCCCAGGACCCTGGTGAAGCTCTCAGATGTCTGACACAAGGAAATGCAACAAATGGAGAACAATACCTTGCCTGCGTTCAGTTCAGAAATCGCTGCCAGAATCTGCTGTCTGGACCCATCTGTCTTAATTCCCAGCTCCTTCAAGTCGCCGTCAGTCAGCGTGAGGAACGCTTCCATGTCCACCTGGGGAGAGAGAGGGGATTCGCCACCATCTGCTGGATGCCACACTTTCTTCCCGGCCACAACAGAAATCCCATGATTATGAGCTGTGAGTGCTTATTAGTAGTAAACTGATTATGATTTACTACTTCTCAGTCTTCACTTTTACATTTAAAACTTCACTGAAAACATTTTAAAAAAATGAACTCTCCTCAGATCTGGCTCTTGGGTTTTCTTAACAGATACATTTTAGGAAGACCCTTAAAATGAGCCAAGTAAGGAAAATCTCTGAGATAGTCATCTGGTTGGCTAGAACAGGAGGAATCCAAATCTGCTATTAGAAAGGTAACTGCAATGTTGCTGCACTTACAATGATATCAGACACTGTACAAACGTATGGCAGTACTCACCTCATTTCCCCCATCACGCACAAGACAGAGACAGACTGTGGAAAGACAGAGTGAGGAAATAAGCAGAAGCAATAAAGGAGAGAGGGCTGTGGAGAATGAGATCAGAGCTCAGAATAAGGGCATCTCAAAACTGTGCGAGCCTTGGTTTCTATGGGTGAGGTCCTAAAAGCTGTCAGCCCTGACTGGGCCTGGGCAGGAAACCAGGCCCTCTGCTCCACTGGCTTCTGTTCCTCTATGGCAAGGTGGAGGGAAGGTCAGAAGGGGCTCAGGTGAAGCAAGCACATCCATTACCCTGCATGGGGGTCCACACCTGGCAGGATCCAATCCAGGTCCACTGGGAAGCCAGTCTCACCGTCAGACCAGAGGAGGGCAGTCAGTGCTAGGTGCGCAAAGCACCTTCTGAGGACTTCACACAGATGAGTCATTTAACCCTCATGACATCAGAGGGGTAGATCATTATCCCCATTTTGGAGTCAGGAAAACCTGAGGCAGAGTTTTTTTGTTTTTTTTTTAGCACTCAAAGTAACATGGCTAGTAAGTGGCAGAGCTCTGCTTTGAACCCTGGCAGAGGACTCCAGCATCCTCTCCTTTCTCCACAATGCTGCATCACCCTTCAGCCACAGATTCCCTGGCCTCCCTCATGGGCTTTTCCTGAGGGCAGCAGCCCCCTTGTTAACATGATTTGACCTTCCCTTAGCATTAAGGGATTGGGTCCCTGGTCTGGTCCTTTCCCCCTGGGGAGCTGCTGCTGCAGACAATGCCTCAGCTTCACAAATCAGACTCCAACAACAGCTCCTCTGGGAGATGGGACAAAGAACTGGCTGCCCACATGCATGTCTCCAGCTGGAGCTGAGGAGGAGAGGGCAGTGTTGCCCAGGAGACAGATAGGGTGCCAATTCCCACTCACTGCCGGGGGAACTGGGCAGGTGGCTTACCTCAGTTTCCCCACTGAAAAATTACAAACAATCCCACCATATAAATCACAGGGTGGATGTGGGATCTACAAAGAGAGTTTACAAACACCTTTATGATCTACATTTACAAACTACGAGACACTATTACACTTTAAGAGATATACTATTGTCATTTAAAATAAAACTTGCATAACTTCTTGAGAATCCTTAGTCTTTCACTTTATAAACAGACTTTAATTTCTATTCCCTCATATCTAACAAGATTAAATTTTTTTTACTTTAAAACATTTGATTTATGTAGGGATAGAGATTTTCTTTCTGAAATTGTCCCCAACCCCCCATCTTTCCTTTTCTGTGTTAACAGTCATTTTACTTTTCTGGATTAAAAACAAAAACCTTGAGCCAGGTTTGAGTCACTTGGGAAGAGTCTGTTCCTTAACCAGTCCTTAGCCTTTTCTGAGAGGCAGGCAACCTCACCTCTCTGGCAAAAGTAAGCTCCTGGCATCTCTTGAGTGCTTTATAGCTCACGGAGTACTGAGGGGCTGAATGGATGGGTGATGCAGTTTCAACGGAAACCCCCTGTCCCGGCCCTGCTAGACATGAGTCTCTCCTCACCGTCCCAACCCCAAGCAGGGACCCCACATCCAGCCTGGCACCATGGCCAGTCCTCAGCGATTCTGATGTCTTCCACACCTGCCCTCTTGGTGAGGGGCCCTCCACCTCCTAACTGGTTTCTCCCTGCCAGATATTCTTCCCTTTCTGCCCTCCAACCCCTGTCCACCTCCACAACAGAGGCTACAGACCTTTCCAGACAGCGTCTACCTCCCAGCCTGTGGTGCACAGAAGCAAGTGCACGCTGTCCAGGCCCTGCTTGGTCAGCCTCCACTCCCTCCTCCTGATGGGCTGGCCTTGGTCCTGCTCCAGCCAAGCCAGAGTGCCATGGGCTCCCTCAATGAGTCCTGCTCCCTCTTCCCAGGTGCCCTTCCAGGTCCGTTCCCCCCATTTCTCCACAGTTCAGCTTAGCTCTCAGCCCAGGTCTTCTCTGGCCCTCATTCCACAGACCCCTTCACTGGGCTCCAGAGTATTCCAGGTATCTGTATTTCCCAGCAGTAGGCTCTGGCAGAGGGTATGGTGGGCAGAGTCTCAAGTACTTAGTATGTGTTTGCTGACCGAATGAATGACTGCATCAATCAGTCTTCTGCCTCTCCATCTGCCCTGACCTTCCCAATTCTGACCTCCGTCAACCCTGGGGGATACCAAAGCCTCATGGCTTATTCTAGGTGGAGGGCACCAGAGATGGAATTCCTCTTTTGTGACTACTTGTGAAGGAGTAGCAGGAATGAGGCAGAAATATCCCAGTATCCTTTCAATATTCATGCCCTATTTTTTTTTTAAGCAACAGAATCCCAATTTTTAGCTGAGCACATTTCCACATAGTTAAAACATTATATTTCTGAGTTTTGTTTGCAGATAAGTATGGTCAGGTGATAAACTTCTGGTAACTGAGATACAAGACTGGGTGGGACTTTGGGGAAGTCTCTTTAAAAAGGAGGGAATGTGTCCTTTTGCAGTCTCCTTCCATCCTGCTGCCTGGAATGTGGATGTGATGGCTGGAGCTCCAGCAGCCATATTGGACTTTGAGGATACAAGCCACATACACTAGTGGGGGTGGAGCAGAGAGCTAGAAGGATCCTAGATGACTCATGTCCAAACTTTCTGTGGAAAAAAAATCACCTTATATTTTGTTTAAGGTACTATAATTTTGGTATTTTTCAATACGCATAGTTAAATCCACCTTAATACAGGTAGAAAGATGAAAATTATTAGTCTGCCTTTAGTTTCAATATGGCAAGATGAGAACATGAATTAACTTCATTCCTCTTCCAAATTCTCACTGATGACTATAAGTGCGTATGAATGGGGAGAACTGTTTACTGGTGGAAACTAGGGAAAAGTGCTATCTACATGCCAGATACTTCCAGGAGTTTCAGCAAGGGACTGAGAAGTACCCCTGAAGCTATGGCAACTGGGTCTGGAAGCAAGGGGGGTGGCAATCAGCAGGGTTAAAACCTCAGTTCTACTAAAGCCTCCAAGGGGAACACTGGGTTGTGGGTCCATATAGAGAGTGTACCCCTACAGTGTAGCCAGCTCATATCTTGCCAGAGAGAAGCTAAGTAAAAGGAAGAGACACGGGGGTCCAAAGTGGCTCCCACCAGAGGTCATGGCGCTCGCGAAGGCGAGGTCATCAGTTCAAGGCTAACCTCATAAGCTCAAACTGATTGGCAGGAAAAAAAAAAAAAAAAGGAAGAGACACTAAGCTTGGCCCCCAGCAAGCACAGGCATCCGTGTCAGGTAGAAATGAGGACAATGTCTCAGCTAACCTCACGTGAACCTATTGCACAGAGAAGTCCACAGTCAGTGGCACTGCCTCAGGCCCCAGCTCCCTCTCTGACCCCAGAGGCTGTGGAAACTTCTAGGTGGGCGAGTTATTAAAACTACAGCAAATCTACATGGCCTGCCTTCCTCTTCCTGCGAACATTCTCGCAGCTCTGTATGTCAGCTGAAATATTCCTCCGTTCCCAGTGCTAGACAACCACAACTACCTCTGAACAACGCAGGACAGGTGAACTCGCAGACATGCCAGCTCAAAAAAGGGGTAAGGCCAAGAAATAAGAACAAATGTCACCTTACAAGCCAGAGACACAATACCTCAAGAAGCAGAAGTGTACTTTGAGATGTGTTCTCTGTACACTCCAAGATGGCATAAACATATCAGCAAAAGCAGGCAGCAATCAGGAAAGATTTCTTGGAGAAAGTCATTGCTAAGGTTTAAAACACCAAGGAGGCAGGAATGGCAGACTGCGTACGGCAGAAAAGCAAATAGGAGGAGGAAAGCTGGTGCACCCTCTGTTTGTTTCCTGAACTAGAATACAAACTCCTCAAGCCTGGTAGGGACAATGAGTGATTCTCATGATTGCTCCACAATTGTGACAGTTTTCACCTACTAAGCTGCTCACTAAAATGTCCTAAACCAGTGATTATGCCTTGGTGGCTGGTGGGCCCGCGGAAGAGTTTTACTTGGCTAAAACAGTAAAATTTTTAACAGCTTACTGAGATATAATTCATCCACCATACAATTCACCTATTTAAACAATTCAATGCTTTTTAGTATATTCACAGAGTTGTGTAACCATCGCCACACACTCCGTTTTAGAACATTTTCATCACCCCCAAAAGAAACCATGTATCATTCTAGTCACTCCCTACTCAGTCCATTCTGCCCGCCCACCCCTCCACCCAACTCTCTGGCAACCACGAATCTACTTTTTGTGCCTATAGATTTGTCTTGTCTGGACATTTCATATAAATAGAAGCACACTCTATGTGGCCTTTTGTGACTGGTTTCTTCTACTTAGCAAGATGTGTTCAAGGTTCATCCATGTTGTAGCATGTGCCAGTATTTTATTCTTTCCCCGGCTGAATAGTATTCCATAGCACAGGCACATTTTATTTATCCATTCATTAGTCAATGGACATTTGAGTGGTATCTACAGTTTGCCTTTCATGAATAATGCTGCTATGAGCATTTGCGTACAAGTTTCTGTGTGGACGTACGTCTTCATTTCTCTTGGGAATATACCTAGGAGTAGGACTGCTGGATCATATGGTAACTCGTATGTTTAATATTTTGAGGAAGTACCAAACTGCAGAACAGTAATTTTTTTTAATGTGAATCTGAATGCTCTTAAAAAATAGCAACTCTCTAAGACTACCACAGGCCCTACTCCAGACGAATTACACAGGTTCCTTTAGGTTTTACAATCAGCCCACTTTAAGCCTATAACTTTGCCAGTCAATCACAGACAACAAAAAAAATGTTTTCAGGAGAGAAAGAAACTTTTCTAGAGGGAGCAGTGCTCAAAATTACAAAATTCTACCATAACAAAGCAAGCTGTAAGTCCCCAGGATTTCACAATAACAAACTGAGCTAGACCCGCTGAGCACGAATTCTATTTCCTCAGCTGTCTCGATGCAAGAGATCAATCTAGGCCTGCAAAATGAAAGCCTACACATTTAGACAAAGTTTTCTTTTACAATAAGATTTAAATTGACATTCAAAAACAGCATCCTTACCTCCTGTTCCTCAAAAATGGGCTGATATTTCTCAAGGGATAATTTCTTAAGGATTCCAGTCAGTTCATCTTCAAGAGGGAAAGGTAAAAAAACACACACATTTTAGAATTTGGTAAAATGTATCAAAAAAGTGGTCTTTAAACTTCTATAAAGTAGTGGTAATCTTATTTCAAATGAAATTCTAAATAAGAAATACCAACACAGAAAGCTGATCTCAGCCAGGCTCCTGCAGATGAGGCTGGAGGTGGGTCCTGAGCTACCTGCACCCTCTTCCCCTCAAAGCAGGCCCTCAGCAATCACCAAAACTCCACATCGGGCTGCAAAAACACGGAGAGTCTGGGCCAGGACTGACTGATTCCCTCCAGACTGTGACCCTCAAGTTCTCAGAGCTCCAGCTGCCAGAAATAAAACTCTGCCTTCTTCTGTGCAAGAAGGCACTGTAAATGCCAACACCTGCAGTAAATGCCAATGCCAGTCCTCAGCTAGTCTGAGGAAGAACTTAAGAAAGAAGGTGGTGGGCTTCAGACCAGAGCCAGGGTTTGGCTCAAGTGTGCAGAGGCAGTGGCCTTTCTGAAAGAAAAAGGCATCTATGTGGAACAGCAGAGACAGAAGGGCACAAGGGGAAGATTCGGAGTATCAGAACAGGGAGGATAAAGAAAATGAGACAAGACCAGCACCGGAGGGGCTTGAGAAATATTCATTCATATATTCAATTGAGATTTGACAGACTAGGCACTGGGGGACTCAACAGATACCAAAACAGACAATAGGAAGGCTGACAGGGGCTGGGCAGGTGGTGCACGCCTGTAATCCCAGGGCTTTGGGAGTCCAAGGATGGCAGGTCACTTGAGGCCAAAAGTTCAAGACCAGGCCTGGCACTAACAAGATTTCCTCTCTAGAAAAAATTTGAAAGTAATTAGCTGGGTGTTGTGATGTGTGTGCCTGTAGTCCTACTGACTCAGGACTCAGGAGGCTGAAGCAGAAGGATCACTTGTGCCCAGGAGTATGAGGCTGCAGTGAGTTGCAATCATGCCACTATGCCACTGCTATTCAGCCTGGGCTACAAAGCAAGACTCTGTCTCAAAAAAAGAAAAAAAAAGGCTGATAGGCAAGACAGCAAGGAAGAAGAGAGCAACATCAAGGTAGATGACAGCGTTTTCAGTTTTACAAATGCTGTTTTACAGAGGATAGTGATGGAAAGACTCTTATGAGGTAACCTATGAGCAGTAAATGAAGGCGTGAGCTATGCAGATATTGGAGGAAGAGCTTTAGGTGGCATCAAGACAGGCAAGAGCAGGTGCAAAGGTCCTGAGGCAGTGGAGGCAGCTTAAAGTGATTAGGAGGCTTGGGTTCTTCCTTTTATTCACTCCCTCACTCATTCAATCATCCATCTCTCCATCCATCCTTCCAGCAGTGACTACCACTGTGCCCCATGGACGCTGGGTAGCAAGGATGGAGAGGTCCCTGTCATGAAGGAACTCAGCATGGCTGGGAGGACAGATGATGAGGGTGAAAGCTAATGCACAGTGTTCACTATCAGCCACCCTGTACATGGATGACCCACTTGCTCTTTACAACACCAATGAGGTAGATCCTATTACTGTCCCCATTTACAGATGAGGAGCTGAGGCACAGAAAGGCTTGATACCACATCTTGTGTGAGGTCCTCCTGCTAGTCCATGGCAGAGCTGGGATTCAAGCCCAGTGGTGTAGCCACCAGGCCTGTGCCAGGCGCCCGCTCTCCACTTTTCTCATGGGTGATGTGTGCTATGGTGAAGGGCAAGAACAGGGGTATATGGGGACAGAGAGGACAGCTGACCCAGCCCAAGGGACTAGGGAGCTTCACAGAAGAGAGTCTACTGAGCGATAATGTATGAGACAAATCAAATCTCAATCCACACATAATCTGTTGTATTTCATAACACCAAACCTTTGCTCCTGCCGTTCCCTACACATGCAGCCTTGGTCCACAGTGGTGTGCTGGTAAATGTTTAATAACAGCTCTTGGGGGGAAAATGTATGCATGTATATAGGCACATAAGTCTACTGCAGACTTTACTAATATAAAGGAGGTACAGCACACAATTTACAAATAATAAAGAATACAATATTCTTTCTTATAAATTCCACAGAGCCAACTGATTCTCACCAAATGCTTTCATTTGTTTTTGCCCTACTCTTGTACCCACAGCCAAGGAGTATGGTTCTAACATGAATGTTGGCTGAGGGTTTTATTTACATAAATGAGAAAGATAAAAAGAAACAATAAAGACTTATGTTGGAACTTCATGTGAGCAACCTGACTGCATCAAATAATGGTTTTCAAATACTGGAAGAATATTTTCTCCACTTTCTGTGCTATTCACAAGATAACGGTTACAGACGTAACACACTTGTAAGTTTAATCCTCATTGTTAACATTTTCCCATCACTGACTAGATGACATCTAAACAATATCCGTAAGACATCAAGCCCCGGATTGCTTGAGACCAGGGAGATTGAGGCTGCAGTGAACTGTGATTGCGCCACTATACTCCAGCCTGGGTGATAGACTAAGACCCTGTCTTAAAAAAAAAAAAAAGCCCTGATGGACAGCATTTGCCAATTTCCATGATGTAAATACCCCCATCATAGCCAATTTCAGCCTACCAATCTAATGTCTCTGAAAGTGAAGCTGAGCAGAGATGCGCAGTAGGAACACATCATTATGGGGTATTCACACTGCATAGATAGGAAATATACACAACCTCAAGAACGCAGATAAAATATACAAAAATGAGTAAAAGAGACATTTTAAGTACAATATACCTTTATATTTATATAATTTAGTTAATTCTAAGTTCATGCAATTTGTAAATAATGGATGTGTTTAACAGCCGGCTTGGGTATTTCCTACAAATTAAACAGTTGGCTCTGGGACCACACTGCCTCTCTCTTCCCAGTGTCGTGGTCCAGGGGGAGTGCCCGCTGACCAGAGAAGTCTTCCATGGCACATGGTGCTTTGCTGATAATGGGTTTGATCTCACCTTGTGTTACACTCCAATGTCATTATGTTGAATGTGTCTGTCTCCCTGTGAGTTCTCCTGGGTGCACAGGTTACGGCACCCAAGGACTGCCCAAGAAAATTTCCTGGAACAAATGTGAGGCTGAAAAGGTGATGTCATAAACCTTGCTGCTTCTAACAGGTGGGGTCCAGAGAGGAGGAATGCAGATGGAGAGATGGGGCAGGGCAGGGCTCACATATGTCCTTGACTGGGACCACACATTTCCCAGAAGAATATCATAAAAATAACTGTTTGGAATGGACTGCAGCCCCTGGCCTGTAACAATCTTACACCCACAGCACAAAGGGCTCACTGCCTCAGGACCCAGGAACTCTCAAAGGGAAAACTCGGCTTTCTAAACCAGAGAAATTATTCTAAAAAGAAAGTGCTATTGGCCCTCTTCCTTTTTCATCCCAATTAGGGCGTTGCAAACCATTTTTTATAATAAACAAGAGGGAAAGAGAGTGGGTACAGGCAGTCCATATGGACATCCACTGTCTAGACTCTTTTTTGGAAAACGATGAAGCACAAATACCTAACTGAATCTCTAGGGGCTTCAATTCCTAAAAGTCTCAGAGGTGGAAGAATTCATGAATGTGAAACTCAAAAGACTCCATATAGAAAATACCGTTGGAGAGGAATGAGTTTGCTGGTGAATCTCTGAAGCCTTGATAAATGATCACACTGGATATCACAAAACAATAAAAGCAGCCCCCAAATAAGGACTATATCAATGGCAGCACACATTTATCAACTTAGTACACACTAGAGCCTGTGCAGGTGATTCCAACTTATCTTGCTCAGCAGCTGCAGCAGCAATGAGCTGCCCGCAAATGCATTTGTGAGGGCCACATACACAGTCAGATTTTCCTCCCTGCTGATCTATACTCCTCCATTTGCACCTGCCTGGGCCCCAGGTCTCACCAAAGCTCCCTCCTTCTCTCCTTCCCCGCTCTCAGCTCCTGGGGTCCACCAGAGGGCAGTTTAAAAGGATGGGATTCCTTTTTTCATCTGCCTTTATCTTTCCTGGGGCCTGACTGCAAACCCTCTGCTCCTGCCCTGCCACCCACTTCATCCCCGCATGGGGGTTGTGGAAGCTGGAATTCACAAGACAGGTTCCAAGGCTCTCCTGGCTTCAGTGGACATCAATTACTTTTGCTTGACCTCATCCATCCCCCTCCTCCTGGAAACAGTATTTCCAAATTTTGCTTTGAGAAACTATTTCTCTCCCACTTCCAATACACGAATGTCAGCAGGTTGGACCCCAATTCCAGCTCCAAAGCAGACAACTGACCCAGGGGCATGGCCAATCAACACATTCTAAATACAGTCAAGCCAATGGCCTTTACACTTGGGATTTTGCTGGATCTACTGAGAAAGCAGCACTCTTTCTGCTGGGGTTGAAAAATTAGCAGGAAGACAAAAGTATGCCTGAAGCTGCTTGCCACCACTTGGAGAGAGCCTGCCTGAGACCTGGAGATAAACACTCCCAAAGCACCTGGATTCAGACATGGCTGAAGCACACCCTAGACACTCATATTATATGAGCCAATGAATTGTTAGGTTTCTTTTTTTTTTCCTTGAACCAGTGTGAGTGGAGTTTCTCTCACTTGCAACTGCAAGAATCTTGACTGGTACAGGGTCCAGGGAAAGTAAATAAGTTAGTGTTGGAGAAGCATTTTCAAGGGCATATGTCTGCTTCTCCTATACTCACCTATACTCAAGACTCACCTACACTCAAAAACTCTTTGAGGGATGTTACCATACCTTTCACACAGTGAAAACAAAAATAAAAGTTAGAATCAGAGAGGAGGAGGGATATGTTCGTTGTAAATTTTCTTAAAACCTGACCTAGGATGGTTATAGCAATTAAGGTCACCTTGCAGTTCCTTGCTGCCAGATCTTTACGGTGAGAGGAATAGGTTGGGTGTCAGGCTCTTAGGGGACTCACCCTCATCTGTGATGGTGCCACTGCTGGAGCCTCCACTGCTCCTGGACTGCCGATGGGATGAGGAGGAAGACACTGAGGACTCTGCAGTGTGCCCTTTGGGTGAAGGAGAGGGCGTGAGGGTTGGGGAGGTGCTCTTGGAGGTAGTGGAAGTTCCAGACGGAGGCCTTTTGCTGGTCTCCAATTTCTGCTGAACATAGTAATGCAAATATATAAGTCATCGCCTGGAGGGTAGAAATGATGAAAACAGACACCTACAACAGGGAACATGGGTGGTATTTGACTCAACATGATATTTAACCAGGGCTATGAAATCTACTTTTAAAAATATGCAAAGCAGAAACATCATTATCAGAACAATTACAGGATAATCCAACTCTGGAGCAGAGAAAGGGTGAGATCAAATAGTGGCACACTGAGTCAGGAAGCCCAGTCCCAGTCCTGCCCTCCATCTACTTGCACTGTGTTCTTGGCCAAGGCCCCCAAGCTCTCTGGGCCTCAGTTAACCTGCCATAAAATGAAAGTATGCCTTACGGAGGCACCAAGTCCCTTTTTGCTCTTGATGTTCCTTCCTCTACACCAGTCACTTCCAACCTTTTCACCAAAGAACATGTATTTTCCCCTTTTCTTCATTGGTTAGCTTTAAAACAAAGGCTTTTTATATTAAAATAATTCTAGACGTATAGAAGAGCTGCACAGATAAAACAGAGTTCCCAAATACCCCTCACACAGCTTCCCAATATTCACATTCACATCATCACAGTATAATGATCAACACCAAGCATCTGACATCAGCACAACACTATTAACTAAACTACAGACTTGCTTCACTGGCTGTTCCGCTCATTTCCTTACACTGGTCTGGGATCCGATCCAGGACCCCACACCGAACAGAGCTGTGCTGTCTCTCCTTAGGCTCCTTTGACCTGTGACAGCGCCGTCTTTCCTTGTCTTTCATGACCCTGACACTTTTGAAGTCTTGGTCAGGTGTTCTGAATAATGTGCATCATTTTGGGATTGTCTTATGTTTTCCCACAATTAGATGTGCTTGTGAATGTGTAAGGCAATGACCACAGGGGTGATATGCTCATTTCAGTGCAGCGTATGCAGGGAAGACACAGTATCTGATTACTGGTGATGGTAACCTTCATCACTTACATGAGGGCATGTCTGCCACATTTCTCTATCATAAAGTCACTATTTGTCTTCTTAGTATTATTTGGGGAGAGGATTTTTTAGGTAAATATTTATTTATTAAGGTTCTGCCCATTAATTTTGCATCATTGGTGAATCTCACTGAAGCAAGTGTTACAGTGGTGTTCCCATGGTGATTTTCTATTGCCCTCATTCCGTCCACATTTATTATCTGTAATAATTCTATAAGGAAGAGTTGTTCTTTCTCTCCCATTTATCTATTCAATCATTTATTCATAGCAGTATGGACTTACGGTGTTTTTTTTTTTTTTGTTTGTTTGTTTTTAAGGCTGGGAGTGTGCCATCTCAGCTCACTGCAAACTCCACCTCCCAAGTTGAAGCGATCTCCTGCCTCAGCCTCCCAAGTAGCTAGGATTACAGGTGCCCGTCACCACGCTCATCTAATTTGTGTATTTTTTGTAGAGACAGGGTTTCACTGTGTTGGCCAGGCTGGTCTTGAACTCCTGATCTTGTGATCCACCCACCTTAGCCTCCAAAAGTGCTGGGATTACAAGCATGAGCCACTGTGCTCCACCCTCATGGGTATTTTTTTAGTCTCTGGGCCAAAATCCAATATAATTGTTATTTTCTAGCTCATGATTACAGCGTTGACCATTGGGAGATCTTTCGGGTTGGCTCTTATATCCTTTTGACATGTACCATCTTTCTTTCTTTCTTTTTCTTTTTTTTTTTTGATCTCTTATCACAAGTAAAGATTTATTGTCAGGATAAAAAGAATCCTACATTTATATCAGAGCCATTTCTGATATGTTTCCTAAAAATAACATAAGTGGTGACATTCAATTTTTTGTTTTGTTTTATATATCAGAATCAATTTGTAGCATAACATAATGAAATTAAAAGCCAAATAATTTCTTTTCACCTATTACTTTTTTTCTTTTTAAAAGTATTTCCCTACTTTCTGACACCACAAAATACCTTAAGCTCATCTTGTATTTCCACTGGCCTGGTACTAGAATAAACTACTTTTTGAAGGCTTTCCAAGGTCCCTCTTATTAGAGAATGGTATTTAGAAACCAAAATCTGGGCACCAGGTTGCTCACTGGTACTGGGCTATCACTGCTTCTAGGTCCTCAAAGTGGACAGAGCAAAGAAATATATAAACACACACTAACCCATGTATACAAACATAGTCATATCTACTTTTGTATCTACTCTGTGTGTGTGTAACTCACTGTGTGTGCATTTAAAAGCATGCATTCATACTGATACTTCTGACTTCAATGCAACATCCACAGTTTATTATAGCTTTCTTCCTGTGATTCTGTCTCTGACAGTAAAACTTTGCTACTTATTTATTCAATCCTGGTATATATGTTAGGTGTACATGTATGCCAAAACATTTTATACATATGTAAAGAGGTTTCAGAATTGTTAGCCCATATACTGGAAAGAAAAAAAATTATCAAATAGAGTACAGTGCTTGTATACAGTAATTTTTGTCTTCAGCTTAATATCCACTCAACATATAATTTTCTCCTCTACCTCCTACAATGTGGGTAGGTCACTCATTTGTAATATAGTTAGATCTTTTGTCATAGTTTGCATTCTATCTTTGGTTCCTGCTTGATTTCGTTTTTCTTTTTTTAATTTGCATATAGTAAAAAAACAGCTCTGCTGTATACAATTCTATGGGATCTGACAAACACTAAGTGTTATGTATCCAACAACAGAGTACCATACAGAAGAGTTCCATTATCCTCTGAATGTCCTTAAGCGGTCCTTTTCTAGTTAATCCCCCTCCTAATCCCAAGCCAAAAAAACAACTGCTCTATGATCCATCCTGTGACTAGAGAAGAAAAAATAAAGTGTTTTTTCCTCTGTTCTTACCCCACAACAATCAACAGAGAATGTTGACTGTGACCAAATGTATGGTGCTTTCTTCCCCTACACACCAAGCAAGCAATCAGTTCTGCAGTGGACACCAGCTGAGTATCCTCCAATTCAAGTGTGACACGATCTATCTGAACACACAGCATCAAATCCCACAGGTTGAGGGCTCAGTCCCAGAAGACTGCCCCGACTGCAGATCGCAACTGCAAGCCCCAGATTACTTTACCTGTGCTTCTGACTGACTGGCTATAAATCAGGGTTCCCATAACTCCCTCCTTGGGTTTGATTAATTTACTAGCGGCTCACAGAACTCAGGGAAACACTTACTTACATTTACTGTTTATATGGAATATTATTCAGCCATAAAAAGGATGAAATCCTGTCATTCAAAGCAACATGGATGGAACTGGAGGACATTACATTAAGTGAAATAAGCCAAGTATGGAAAGTGAAACACCGCATACTCTAACTCATATGTGGAAGCTTAAAAAGATGATCAGTGGAAGTAAAAAGTAGAACAGAGAATACCAGATGGTGGGAAGGGAAAAGATTTGTTAAAGGATACAAAATTATAGCTAGATAGGAAGAACAAGTTCCAGTGCTCTATACCACTGTAGGATAACTACAGTTAACAATAATATATAGTTTCAAATAACTAGAAGGAGGATATTGAATGTTCTCGACACAAAGAAATAATAAATGTTTGAGATGATATATAATTATCCAGATCTGATCACTATACATTATATATATCTAAACATCACTATGTACAATTAAATATGTACAATTATTATGTATCAATGAAAAAAGTAAAAAAAAAATCTGAAGATATTACCAGGATATGGTAAATAAATGCATATGGCAAGGCACGGAGGAAGGGGCAAGGAGCTCCCATGCTCTTCCTGGGCATACTACCCTCCAGGAATCTCCAGGTGTTCAGTTGTTTAGTTTTCTGAACCAAGTCCTTTTCATGTTTTCATGAAAGCCTCATTATGGAGGCATGACTGACTAAATCATTGGTCACTGATTATCAACTAAACCTTCAAACCCTCTCCCTCTTCCCAGACATTGTGGGGTAGAGTGAAAGGCTCAACCCTCTAATCCTGCCCTGGTCTCTCCTATGACTGGCTCCCATTCTGAAGCTACTTAGGAGCTGCCGGCCATGAGTCAATTCATTAGCACACAAAATGACATCACTTTGGAGATTCTAAGGGTTTAGGAATCATATTACAGAAAACTGGATGAAGAACAAATATATATTTCACAGCATCACATACCCCTACAGTGTTGCTGTTTCCAGAATGTCATATAAATGGAATCAGACAATATGTAGACTTTCGGGTCTGTCTTCTTTCACTCAGCATAATGCCTTTAGGATTCATTCAAGCAATTGCATGTATCAATAGTGTGTCCCTTTTTGATGCTGCGTTGTGTTCTACTGCATGAATGTACTATAATTAATCCATTCACCCATTAAAGAACATTTGGGATACTTCCAGTTTGGTGTGATTATTTTTAAAATAACATAAATATTCAGATTTTTACATGAAGGTAATTTTTTTCAGAAGGAGTTTTGCTCTTTCACCCAGGCTGGAGTGCAGTGGTGCAATCTTGGCTCACTGCAACCTTTGCCTCCTGGGTTCAAGCTATTCTCCTGCCTCAGCCTGCCAAGCAGCTGGGATTATAGGCACCCACCACCACGCCCAGCTAATTTTTGTATTTTTAGTAGAGATGGGTTTTCAGCATGTTGGCCAGGCTGGTCTCAAACTCCTGACCTTGTGATCCACCCACCTCGGCCTCCCAAAGTGCTTGGCTGCCACACCCAGCCAAGCAATTTTTTAAAAATCCACTTGGGTAAATACCTGGTAGTCAGGTAGCTGTGTCATATCATAAGTGAATGTTTAGTTTTATAAGAAACTGCCTATCTTTTTCAAGGTGGGTGTACCATTTTGCATTCCTACTAGCAATGAATGGGAGTTCTAGTAGCTCCACATTTGTCACCAACAACTGTACCTTTTTAAATCTTGGCCAGTGTAATAGGTATATAGTTCTATCTTAATTATGGTTTTAATTTGCATTTTCCTAGTAATTAATGATAGTTAAACATCTTTTCATATGCTTTCTTTTTTTTTTTTGAGA